ATTTATTTATAAACAAGGAGGAGGGTTTGAGAATCCATACAAAAGTGGCAAAAAGAGATTGATGAACAAGGTGAAGAGCTTTTAACTGAGTTTGTTTTGCCAGCGCTTCTGCTCTGTGAAAATGATGCCCTGTATACAACGCTGGACTTACAAACCACACACATCTTGACAGCAGGTCCATGTATAAACAACCTTCCTGGGTGCCACTGTAAGTTGCAAATGATATACTCTGGTTAGCATACGTCTGACAGGATGATGAGAAGCCTCCTGTCAGCTGCAGGCCAGCCAAAGTCTCCTAGACGAAATGCACAGCCCCAGCTGACTAGTTAAAGAAAGCCTGGTGTGGTACAATTATACAGGCATATGACAAGCCTGCATGGCTGACTGACTTGAAAACTGATGACATGGCTTTAAACTGTGATACTCCTTACCTATTGTCACAAAACAGCAATAAGTCAGCTTATGCACTGTTGTAAAATCATGATTTATTCCTTGGCCTTGAATAAATATGAGTATAGCTTGATGTTCAAGGCACCTTCCACATCATGTTCATACGGAGCTAAAGCCTGAATGCTGCATACATAAAATCAACTTTCTGCCCCTGTTACTTCAGTTAAGGATCATGAATCATCTCACCATTGCCCAAAATGCAATTTTACCAACGGTCAACAACACGTGGACAAGATATAAGGGGGAAATAATGTGTGTATGTTGGTGAAAGGGTGGGGGGGGTTGGGCAATTTTTTAAAAAATTGGCACATGCCCCAATTTCCACCCAGGCTGTTCTATACGATAATTTTGAACAATAACCAAAAATAAGTGGAATATTTTTTCTTTTTGCCTGAAACTACACAAAATTCACAGCATCACTGCTCTCAGATAATGGGGTTACAGCCAGTATGCAAGCACTTGCATGGCCAGTGCTGTGAATTTCAGGAAATTGTAATTCAGGTTTCAGTCACAGCACATTAGAATGTAGATTCTGCTACAACCAGCAGGATGCACCTGTAAGCTAATATGCAAGTAAGGGTCAGAGCCTCGCTATGTATTTGGCTCTCACGTTGAGATTGGCAGTTTAACCATGAGCCTCCCCACCATGTAGCCATGAGATTTCTGACAAACTTATCACAATCATGACAGCAAAGCTACAATTTTCATTGTGTCATTACCCATCTTTAAAAACAATCACCAATCTAAATGTACATTTTAGCAATTGCCAACTTTAAATACAATTCTGCTTGGCTGAAAATTTGAGCAAAATTATACTTATCCTCAACTAAAAAATATAAAATCAATCATTAAAATTGTGCAACCATGCTGCAGTCTTCTCCCCTAAATAACATTGCTTCAAATCAATTTCAACACCTTATTTACCTAAAAGGAGCAAATCTGAGGTAGCAGAACAAACTTTAACAAAGAGGGTGTTTTTTTCAGTCAACTGTGACAATAAAAAACATCAAATACAAATCAGATCAAGAGGTATCTGACCTCCAACTTAATGATAATATTGGCTAGAAACAGTGTAGTTTTAACTAAAAAAAACTATATTGCATAATGGTTCTGCAGCACCCTGTGCATCTCAAATATGGATTTGAGGAGGAGAAATAAAACTGAGACCCTTCCAGTATCTACTCGCAAAATGTTTCAAAACTCTAGGTATTTAAGAAACAAAATTAATTTAAAGGTTCCTAGCAGTAGTTTGGTCCAGGCTGGACAATAGAAGAGAAGAAATGGTGTGAACTCATAGCTTGGCTCTCAGTCACATAGTTAAGTCCTTTCAACTGTACCGGACTTTTCAATAAATTTAGTTTAAGAGTGTAAGGACCACATCTTGGTATTATTAATAAGGTCAAGAGAGAACAATGTAAGTCAAATCAAATATTCACAAATGCAGATGGTTATTATTCTGGTTCAGTCAGACAGGCCAGATCTTTTGCAGCTTGTTTATTTGGGAATTAGTAATTATGCACAATTATTCTTTTCCATCTAAAATCTGCTAAATATAATTAACCCTCAGAACAATTAATGAATGAAGATATGGTATAATAAATATAACATACAGAATTTGTTGTAATACCAGCATACTAATTTATTTTTGGTCATACGTTATGCATAATTTTTAAAGTCCTGCAATATCAACAAAGAAATGTAGAAAACTTTTTTTAAAAAATTCAGCTTTTTTTACAGTCTTCACTGACTTATAGAAAATGTACAGGACAAATGAAGACCATTGGACCCATCACATCTGTGCTGAATCTCAATCCTCAACTGGAGCTCCCTCCTCTAAACCCATTCCCCCTTTCTTTTCCCCCACTATTATTATTCAAGTATTTGTCCAATTCATTTTAAAAGAAATTAAGGTTGCTTCAGTCAGGAACTTATTCATTCAGTGCAGGTATATGAACACTAAATATAAATTTAGCATATACCCTCTCGTACAAGAGGGCAAACTGTTTCACTGCTGCCCAGCAGGTTGAAGTTATTTCAGTAAATTAGAAATTGCAGACCTGATTAAATAAACATTTATTACCTCTGGCAAGTGTCTACATTCACAGGCAGAATGAAGACTGTAAATCTACAAACTGAACAGCACTTGCCTCCACTCAGAAAAAAATAGAGTTTTTTTTTCAAAGAATGTATAAAACTATAAATTTAAACATTCTACTGGTTAAGTATTTTTCTTTAACCTCCCACAAGAAAAGTTTGAGCACAGACCTTGAAGTGTTCAGGTTTTCATCATCTATGATACCAACTGTTACAAGACAGATAACCACGGGATGACATCACATTTTGGTCCGCATGAATGGTGATAAATACTTCAAACAGAGCCAACTTTAAAGATTACGGTGGTTGCTGTTCCTTGTGCAACAGAATTTAAAGGGTGGGTAAAGAGGGAAATGCAGCAGCAAGGAAAAAAGCCTCAAAAACGTGAGAGACAGGTCATGTTTGGCACAGCAGTCTTTTCCCAAGGTTCCTAATTTTTAAATGCTTTTTTTCCAGCAGAATTGCTAAATAGCCAATTTTCATTTCTGTGTCATAGCCACTGCTTTGGCTGCAATGCAAATCCACTGACAAAACATTCTTTGAGCTTCACCAGCTGGGCTACAAAATGAATCACCAAACAAAGCACTCCTACTCAACTTACAAAATATAAGGAATGATCATTATCAGCAAAAACACTAAATTATACAAGCATGAATTCACAGAACAGTCTGCAAAAATAATTCCCAACTGAAAATGGCTTACAAGTGTGAGAAAGTATAGAACACAGAAAACTATATTTTTAACCAATTTCAAATTGGCTTCAACCATTTTTAAAGATAATTTACGTATCACCTGGCAACACATACTTTACATAGACAGCTTGTAACATTTGTTTCAACACCTCTTTTCACTGCATTAATTCTTAGAATTCTAAGTATGTCAAAAATATTTCTGGGGTGGGGGTTGCAAAATATTGTGCTAACTGAATACGTTAATTTTAGCAATATAGCTATCCACTACACTCCAATAGAGTGTCAACCGATTTTTTTTTGTCAGTGGGGGCGCGGGGGCTGAGCTGTCAACCTGATCTGTCAAGCCAGCAATGCAGTTTAGACAGTGGCATCCTTTCTTAGGATATACAAGTTTGTTTCCATGCTTTTCCTGATGCTTTGGATTTTGGCTCACAATGTAAACCATGCAGAATCCGAGAAACAAGCAGCTTTACAGTATTAGTTCTAACCAAACCAGCTCTGAAGTATCTATAATATAATAATCCTTGTATTTGATATAGTGCCTTATCACATCTTCTAGACGTCTCAAAGTGCTTCACGGAATATACTGTAAAGAGAATATATACCTTCCAAAATAAACTCTGCATGAAATGTTTAAACATTTAATACGTACAAAGTCTCTCTGGGAATGTCAAGCTTGGATGCTGGAGAAATATCAAGAGATAGTGGCTACCAATTTAAGGCAGCTCAGGGTCCAGATTCACGGCGAGCCACATCATCAATCAAAGGATCCACAAACAATCTTGTTTTATACAATAAGAAACTACAAACAAAACAAAATACGAAGAGAGCCTCTATGCTGTGAATCTCAAATTCTTGTCAATGAGGCTGTTCCAATCATAATTTAAACTTTTAGCTCAGGATGTAACCTGATTTAAATTAATCCCACCAATTCCTGCATTATCACTTTAATCAGAATGACACTGTGGCTTTAAGAACCCTTTTATCAACAGGCTCTCTGGGCTAGTTGGGATCAAGCTAACTAAGTCACACATCTACAATGACAGATGATTTCATTTTGTTTTATAATTTGTGCATAATAACCTGTTACTTTATAGCAGTACAATTACATGCTGCATTTGGAGTTGAGCCCCCTTAACTGCACAGAATAATGGTGAAATATGGTTCATCTGTTAATTGGCACTGGCAGCTACTGTATTACCTACAAGAACTGTTAATAGGACACCAAAATACTTTATTCCAGGATTTGTCAGTGAAAAGCCTGAAACACTGGACAGAAATAGTGCCTCTTCAATCACAAAGCATTGACAACCTTATTCTGAAATAGTGCCATTGCAATAATGTCCAAACTTACTACTCAGTAGCAGAAATTAATCAAGTTATCACCAGTTTTAGGTAACCACTATTATAACGGTATCTTGCTTTCTTTCAAGTAGCCTTGGCAATGTAAGCCTAAAGTAAGTAATAAAGAACACAAAGGCCCTAAAGAATTTCCAGCATTAGCTTCAAGACAGTTAAATGAGCTCTGTAAAGTCAAAAACCTCTCATCTCCTTATGACCAGCAATAATTAATCCAACTGAATATAACTAAGCAGTTTTTGTATAGCTTGAACTTTGGTGCACACAAAAGTAGTCAAAGCCATCTTTCACACAGTGCCTTGACATTGTCTAGCAAGAATAATAGATGCATTATATTTACAATTCTTTGGGGAAAAAGCTGATATGTAAAAGTCCCTCTTTCCAAAAGACTGTAAAAGTACTTACAGTGCTAAGCTTACTGGAGGTAACAATAATGCGTCGCTCGTGCAGCATACTGGCATACAGTTGTAACATGTTGTTGACATCCACTGCGACAAAATATTCAGTCAGATTTCTCTGTAATGCAAAAATAAAGCATCAATGCTAAACATATGATAAGATTCTGGTTCAATTCAACATTTTTGAAACAGTTTTAATACAGCAAAGGGCGTTCCAATTTTGTACTTCTCTTCTACGGGAATGAGTGAGGCTCTATACCGCTATACCAAATGCAAGGATTATTATATGAGTCTCTTATGTCTTACATGGCCTAATTGAAAATAAAGACTAATTCTCTGACTTTTTCTTCTTAATGTTAGTATCTTTACACACAGCTGTGAATAAGCTTGCTATATGTATAATTTTAATTTATAGAGCGATAACACAAAAAGTTCATAGTTTTACCGTATCAAAATGTGCAAAGTAGTTACAGCAGGTGGCAACTAGTTTAATCATATAAGCGTATGAATTGAGAGGCTGCAAATCCACAGCACCATTAAAACCAGCCATTAATTTCTCTTACAATTGCCCTCCCCCTGGGTATGATTCAATGCAGAAGCCAGACACCCCTACAGCAAGGTTAAGTACAGTGCAGTAATATTCAATGATGGAAAGAAAGTTTATTTAAAACCTAGCAAATGTCACTAATAGTTCCACACTGTGCCGATTCTCTCTCTCCATCTCTATCGTTCTGCCTTCCACATTCCCTAATCCTACATTCGTCATGTAACATATTGCTGAATGGCACACTTACCTCATGCTACCTGGATAAAACCAAGTAAACTTCCACATTTCTGCCAGCATTCACTTCAATAAGTGAATAGTGGCTGTGTAATCAATAGTGATGAGTTTTTGAAGTATAACATGTGTGCGTCAGGCTGTGTATACCCCTGATCGGAGTGAAGGCTGAGTGTCTGCGGTCCAAGAGTCCAGATGACCAGACTAACAGGTGACCATTCTGGCCATGAAGAGCATAAGCAAGTGGGCCAGTTGGTTTTGGGAACAATAATAGTTGGGGGTAGTGAAGGGTTGGGTGGGGGAAGGACACTCATGGAGAACTCGAAGTGCAGGCACAGCAAACATTCTCTTCACTGGCCTGAAGGAACATCATTGCACAATGTGACAATCCAGGTTTCCTTGAAAAAGGGAAGCCTATGGGATGGCCAAGAGGAGCAACCAAGTGAAATAATGTACTCCGGTGTGCAGGAATGAGGACGTTGCTTGGAAACAGCAAGAGTGCAACTTCTTCTTAATGCACCTGTGACAATGTATTACTTTTTTTGTATATTGCTATACCCACTTTTTGTATACAATTAGTGACTGGCTGCTAGGTAGCTGCTAACTTTATAAGATTCCAGTTGAAGAATTGAGAACTCCCAATTCTGGTTGCTTTACTTTTATATTTATGTCATTTTTGGAAGATGAAAAATAAATGATTGTGTGCAATTATATATACATTTTAACCAACGTTTGTTACACACTGGTTATAGTTGAAAGACACTAAACACTTCTTACAATATAGATGAAAAATATGGTTATCACAAGCAACACACATTTCAGGATCAAAGTACTATCAGTAAAAATTCTGTATTCATATTTTTTTTCATCCAACCTCAATTCATCCTCATTCAAGTATTCATCCGTACAAAATAACAATAAAAATAAGTTTTTTTAAAATTTGAAAAGGAAAGGTTATGCTGAACTGTCCAGAGTACAGTAGAATCTCACTTATCCGGTCACTCAAGGGACTGGGCAAAAGTGACCTACTTAGTGAGGTGACCTGATTACTGAAACAGGTCATTGATTCTGGTCACTGATGTAATGTTAAGGGCATTGCTAATGGGAAAGGGTGATGAACATTCACCAACCATACTTTGCAATCTCATTAAAATAAAGGCATTGTCACATTGTGGAGTCCTGTAGCTCAGTGGTTGGGGCACTCGCCTCGCAAGCGAGAGATCTGGGTTCCATTCCCAGCAGGGCAAAATTTTGGGCAAGTTGCCTTACTCCACACGCCTCTGTTTACCTAGCAGTAAGTAGAAACCCAGTTGTTAGTCAATTGGCGGATTGCTTTTCCGGGGATAACAATCCCTCAAAAAAAACGATAATTTGGCACTCAATCCATGACTGTTTGTGGGACACTGCTGTGAGCAATTGGCTGCTGCGTTTCGCCCACAAATATACAGTCAAATCACTTTACAGTATATTCTGTGAAGTGCTTTGCGACATCTAGAGGACGTGAAAAACGCGATATCAAATGCAAAGATTATTATTTAATATATTCCGTCTATCTTTTGAGAATGCATCCAACTTGTGTTCTGCCAATGCCATAGATCACAGTTAACTGTCTATGACTTTTGCCCTCACTGTCTTTGATTAAGTCCATTTTCTCACGTTAAGGACAACGCCTTCCGTGGTGGCATATTTACAGCACTTACCAAGAATTGGCCGCAGAAGCTCAGGTTAGGCCGCGGGCACCGGGCAAAGTCGATTTTCCGCTTGCACTGCTTCTGCAATCCCAACACTCCCTGTGCCACTCATGCGCGACCGGAGCCGCAGTGGCAGCAACGAGGAAACAGCGCGAGAAGCCCGAGGTCTAGCACACTGTGTACAGGTTAGTAGCGGAGGGGGTTGTTTGTACCGCGTTTGAAGCAGAGGAGGGTGCTATAGCAAAAGGAATCAATGACCAATGTCCTGCATAGTGAGGTGCCCAGTTTACTGAAGCCGACAATTTATCTTTTAAGATCGACAATGAAAGACTATGAAAATGTGCCTGCAATTGTGAGGTGGCTGGATTACTGAAGTGACCACAAACCGGGTTTCTATTGTACTTACACTTTCAGGTATTGTAGGCAGTCCACTTGTATCTGGGGTAATGAAGTACGTGTTCTGTACCATGTAAAACAATGAGTTTTAACAAAACAATTGAGAATATCGCTCCAAGTTTCATTAAACATCATAAAAATTCTATATAGTATATAGGAAAAGACTGTGCTTTAATTGAGTGTTTATTAACCTATTAAAAAATGATCTTGGAAAAAGTCTGATAAAAGTAATTTCTTCAAATCTATATTAATAGTTGCCTAAATTGATATGATCAAGAGATTAAGTACAATCCACAAAAGGTGCATTAAATTTCAGACTGAAAATGGAGAGGAATATCAAACAGATATGCAAATAATTGCACCCATAACTTTTTTGCCCCCAAGACTATTTTGTTCAATAAAACCCTATATTAAAAATAGCTTCCCATACTGCCACAGAATGTGATAGCCCACTATTCATCGTCTAAGCTCAGACATGGAAATGGTCACTTGTGCAAAATATTAGAGTGACACCAGCACTCATCCAATTGTAACACGATCAGAGGAAAAAGGAGTTAAACATTTGCAAAAAAGGAAGTATTATCAGATTTTAAATACACAAATATTTTTTAAACTTTATTGAACTCATCAAATATTGTTAAAATGTTAGTTATGCAAGCTATTTTCATTGTTAGAACTAATTGTATAGCAAGGACAATGACCACAGGAATAAGATATAAGCCTTCAATATGACCCTATCATTTCCCTGTGACAGATGACCATTAAGTTGCACTGAAAAATACATCTCCAGGTCCATGACAGGTTTTATGGATTTTTGGTGACATGAACTCTGATAACAGTTGTCAGATAGCACTTTGGAGGCAATTCTCTCTCTGTCCCATTTCAAATCATCAGTGAGAAACCCCCTCCATTACTGCAATAATACCCGTTGCCTTCACTCGGCTGGCTTCGGCCTCCCGTTTATCCCTCATTCCCTCCGCTCTACCATTGGTAGCCATGGCTTCAGTCACTATGCCTTAAAACTCTCTCCCTCAATCCCTCCGCCTTGCCCTCTCCTTTGCCACCTTAAAATCCCGCCTAAAGACCTTCCTTTTAGATGTGTTTACAGTCACCTCACCCCTCCCTCTCCCCCTGGCTCCACCACTGTCAAGTGCCCCGGGACGTTATCCCGTGTGAAGCGTGCTATATAAATACAAGTTGTTGTTATTATAAACCAATGAAGATGGAGAAATAATGCAGACAGTTAAACACCAATGACAATCTAAAAAATGTCACACAAAGAAACAATTTATATTCAGCTACACAACCTCAATTTATCCTTTCAGAAATCATTTGACATCTAGAAGACGTGAAAAGTGCTATATCAAATGCAAGGATTATTATTATTATTTGATTCCTTCCATCATTTGATTCTTTTCTGTCATTTGATTGGAAAAAATAACTTAAGACAATTAGGGAAGAGTAAAACAAGCGCAAAGGCGCCATAGCAGTCACTTAAAAAAAATTTCAGACGGGAAACAATTGGTGTCACAGCCATCCAAAATTTCCCATTACACAAATAAATGTAGTGTTATTGCGCTCAGGTGTGATGCTCCCCAAGTTTGAATAGTCTGCTGATGTTTATGGTCTAGGCTCACACATGATCACTTAACAACAACAACTTGTAGCATCCCAGAGAACTTAAGTAAAGTACCAAGATGTGCGAGTACCCATGGAACCCAGCATGGACATCTACCTCAGGATATGAATTGAAGGGGTCCATTGTTTTTCAGGGAAAACACTGAAATATTTAATATTCACAAGTACAACAACCCGGGGGAATATTTCAGGGAAAATTGACAAAATAGTATCAGAGTAGGAAGACACTGGTGTAACGAATTTTGTGAGTTCTTCATTGTGTCCACCAAAAGTATTGAGCCGGTTAGGAATAATGGTTCCTGTTGAAGCTGAAAATAAAGCAATTTGTTATATTAACCAATGATGTTCTGATAAATTGATCACTAAAAGGGAAAGGCAAGCCATTTTGTTCCTGAAGACACTGGTTTTGGAACAACATTTGCATGTTAGATTTAAAAGTTGCTACAGTGCTAGAGGCAAAAGGTTTAACAGAAATGATGGATCTGATCATGTACCAATATATTACAGCTCATTTACTTTCAGCATTTCAACACCATACTTCATTCATATCATTAAAATCATCAATAGATTATAAAACTTCAAGTGTCAAAAGCACGTGCATCAGACTTGAACCAAAACATTTTTGCATGTTGTTTCAACACCAATTCTGAGTTATAAAATCTGTCAGTGCATTCAACCCACACACCTAGCATTTAATTCAAGATCACTGCTGTGGCATTTTACTTCTGGCTGCACATTTAACATTTAAAATTTAGCTTACAAAATTGTAAAGGCTTATTATTTTAAGCATTTCTGCCAGAAAATTACACAGAAATTCATTTGGATTTCAACTGGAAAATTCATTCCAGTTACTCTGTTTTAAAAAAAGGTGGTAATGATGCGACTGCATTTAGAATACTGTGTGCAGTTCTGGTCACCGCTATATAAAAAGTATATTGCAGCGATTAAGAGGATACAGAGGAGGGCAACCAAAATGATTAAGGGAATGGAAGGACTGGACAACAAGGAATGATTAGGTAAACTGGATGGACCTTGGTTTTATTTCGCCAAGCAAATTCTTATATTCTTATGATTATTTAATTACATATTTTAAAAAATTGGGAGGCTTAATGAAGAAAAACAAGAAAGAATTGCAGCAAAATTAGCCAGCAACCAATTCTGGATTGAAAAAAAGAGAACATCTAGAGAACTGAAGTAGGACTTTCAAAAGGTAGATTTTTTCAAAAGATAATTTATTTTGTGTTATACATACAGCAATTTGGAAGTCCTTCCTTTTGCAAATTTCAGCCTGCTCAAGAACATTACAATTTGGCAGAGCTTCTTTAAAACATTTAAATATCGTAGGTTAAGAATATTTTTTCTTAAAACTATATGGAAAGACTCAGGCTTCTTGAATTTATTCAATGAAAGGCAAGCAGCAACATTCAAAATAAATACTTTCAATTTTGGATAGAGCTATAGGCACAATACCATTTAGTTTTACTTGTCTGTAATAGGATAATTATTTTTAAAAATAAGAAAACTCCTTAAATCCTGATCATTCCCAATTAATTTTTTTTTAAAAAGTGCAGGGTATGTTTAAGCTTGAGCAAATGCTTCCATTGCACACATTACCATGAACCAGGCTTCCATTAACCAACAATGCACTAAAATTTCTATAAAAGCATGACTTGATCGAGTTATCAAACCTTATTGCCCAATAATCACTTTGAGAAGATATTTTGGTCTGAAGTTTCCTAACTTTCATAACCTGATTTGACTGATTTTGCAGCTATCTACTTGTAAAGCAAACCTGGAGGTTCTTACTGAGAAAAGGTTCAGCAGTTTCATTTTAGAATTATAGAAATTTATGATACCGAAGGCAGCCGTTCGGTTCTTTGTGTCTGTCAAAAACTTGAAGATTGCCAAGTTAATTTTCAGACCCATTTCTACCACATGATGTGACTTTGGGCTTTGTGGTTTATATAAATCAATGATATTTAGTTTGGACGTTCTGTTATTTAGCACAATTATTGAAAAATAAATACGCTTCTAATAATTTTCTGAATCCAAGCTATATAATCAATTCGATTTATTTAAATAAAAATAAAATGCAATACAACTAAAGGTTTGATTAAAAAATAATACTGTAATAATGTGCAATACAAAATATTATACAACTATAATTTTTTTAACATTCCCTCAATTTATTTTTACCAAGAATTAGCCCAATCTAGCACTTGAGCCTCTCACAGATCATCAACGTTTCTCCTCGATTAAGTTATCAGAAGAAACTCTCCAGCAAAATGAAAACATCTTTCCTCCTTCCTCAGTTTTCCTTTCCTTCAAACAACCCAGCTGAGACCACTAAAGTCCTAAGGGAAGTCGAAGTGTGAATGGTAGTCAATATAAGAGTGCTCATTTCTATCTCCCAGTTGAGACTTCAACATAAGAATGTTTTAGTTCCTAGGCTGCAATTTTTATATCGCCCAATACATTTCCCCCAAGGATCTGCTCACTTCAATGAATCTTTCTTCAACTATAGGAACCTGATGGTTCCCACCTGAAACCCTGCAAAGAAGGAATTACCCTGTTTTTTTCTAGATTTTCCACAATGATCAAACATTGGGAGGAAGTAGATTATAATATCATGCAATTTCACGGAAGGTACTAAACAGAGCAGAAATATGAGCAAGTCAACCCGTTCATTTTTTGTGTACTTCCTACAAAACAATTACAGAATAGCATTGCCAGAGGCCACAGAACAAAGCATGTTCTTGTCCTCTCAGTCAGGAAATATAGTTTAGCAGTGTGAGCAGAGAAGCTTTTTTTTGATAATGTCAACATTTCATTGGAAAATTGTAATTTTAAAGATCCTTCTCTTCAAATCAAATGAAACATAATTAAAATCAATAATTTTGATGTACATATCTGATTAAATTTCAATGCTTTCATTTCTATGTCTGTAATTCTCATTTACATCAGATTATTCCCTTTCTTTTACTCTCAATCCACAACTAAACCGTTCATGGATTGGATCACAGCCATCCTCCTCCATTACATATTCAATTCACATAATCCTGAAAAGGTATTTATGATGTTATTTTGTAAAAACGTAAGCCATAGATAGTAAGAAGAGTTTGTAACAAAGCAGTCCCTTTCAGTAACTCTTTAAAAAAAACATGTTTGATAGTTGATTGTAAATTTATCCAAAACATGTTAACACAGGGCTGAGATATGCAAAACAGAGGACAGAACTTGGCTGGATTCTCAGGATTCCAATCCCAAAAGGGGAATACGGTAGTCTCTTTAATCCCAATGATTTGTCTGTCAAAAAAAGGAACATTTTAAAATTTGACTGCAGTTGAGCTCATTAGGGAAGCAGTGATTAGAGCAGCACATTGAATTAAATATGCCACTTTCTGAAGTACAAAGAAAAACAGTACTGCAAAACATCCACAGAAAAATAAGGGTTACTTTACCATACAATATTGATCATCAACTACAAGCGTATAAACCAAATGGAAAGAGCAGAAGTTTGCATGGGAGGAGAGATGTTAAAAAAAAATTGTTCTTTTCAAAAAGAAAATATCTATTCGGATCAGATTTTCCTTATTTACCTCTTATACATTATGCAGCCCTAACAAATACTTACACTAGCTTACATTTTACTTGAGATGAAAACATTGTTTTGAAACAATTTATGGAACAAAAGAAAGTCTGAATTATTTACAAAAATAAAAGTGTTACTCAAGTGTGCATAATAAACCAGTTTATAAAATAATCCCTCAGATAAAAACAGCAATTAACTGAAAGCTTCAGAATTGAAAACCTGCCGGTTGATGGAACCATTTGATGATACGTTTAGCACACACTGAATGTATGCACTTCATGGGATGATTTCCCATTAAACTTATTAAAATTATGATTGATCTGATCCTACATTAATTTTTGACATGTAGCTACATAAAAGGGAAAACATAAAGGAGTCTTTATGGATTCATGGACTATTGCCATTTTACTTTCCAGAATAGCTGGCTGTGTGCACGACACATTATAAAGAATTGCCTAATAACATGGCGTAGTGTATTTAACACAAATCTTACATGCTATGAATATACACTTGATGAAATTCTGTATTAAACCACCAGTCCCGAATGAAATACTTGTGTTATGTTTTTACACTTATGGAACGGATTAATGACAACATATTCGTTTTTTGAAAGAAGTCATGAAAATACAACACCTATGTCAAAACATGCAGAAATACATGTCAAATAGTGCGTTTAAAAAAAAGACAAAAGAACCTACCGGACTAAGATTAACAGGAGTGTTTGGCTTTGGTAGAGGATGCTTGTACAGAGCTTTTAAAACATCATTCAAGTCATTTTCCTGTGAAATAAATAGAATGCATTCACAGACATGAGAAGCTATGTTGAGAATTGGACTAATCTGGACAACAGAAATAAAGAGGAGTCAAAAATGCAACTGCTTAGTTAAATAGTCTTTATTACCATCGAATCTGCAAGGTGATTTGCCCTTCAGAATGTTATTTTTAATAGAAATACAAGTTTAATTTACATAACCTTCAATCCCCAAATTAATAAACAGGGACAAGTTGAAAGCTCTTCTGTTTTGCTCTCAATCATAAACAAGGCAGTAATAGAAAGGGAGAATTATTTTCATGAAGCATTTTGCATACACAGTCGTGCATATTGGAGGAGATATTGAAATAAAAGGTTAAGGTTATAAACTTTAATATTTTCTCTTAAAGTTAGGTTGATTTTACTCAAACGTTAATCTTAGTGGATATAGCTTCAGCAACTCAAAAGTAAATTAATGTAGGTAGGCAATAAATGAGTTAAAAATTATCTCTAAAATTATGTCAGTTTAAAATAAATGCCAATAAACAATAGAGCCATAATTCAACATTTCTTTAATATTTTTAAATGGTCAATATTACCTAGCAACTGAAGATTAGTGAATTACTGTGTTATAACAATAACAATAGAAATCAGCCAAACTCAGTTGTCAATCTGGGCCAGCAACATCCCACGAACAACAATGAGATGAGCAGCAAATTAGTTTGGATTGAAGGGTAAATTTGGATGTGGAGAGGAATGTAAGACAGGATAACTTGGGAGTAAGACTCCACGTTTCTTTGAAATAGCAACAACACAGCAGTGTTCGTTAATGTCCACCTGTAGCACAAGGCAGATGGAACCTAAATTAATAACAGCATCAAAAATATAAATACATTATGTACAATATACATTATATAGTATACATTTATATATATTTAGACTCCTATACACTCAAAATTGCTTAATATTCTCAATTATTTAAAAGTTATTGCATGAGCATTTAATGGGAAAAGGTGTGTGAGAACAGTTTCATCTGCCTTATGAAACACATTTGTGTGCAAATTTTATTCAGTCATAATTTACATTACTAGTGCATGGGGGAGTTAATTAGGGTAAAATCCAGTGCACAAGTCACCTTCATACAGATTTTTATGATCTGTTAACCTGGCTTTGAAATTTCTCCCAGCTTTTAGAAGCTGTAGGTATAATTTTACATACCTGACTTCACATTAATGTCTTATTAAAATGAGGAGCCCTTTCAGATTTAGCCTCAACTTTCTCCAACAAAATGTCAACAAACCTGAAGCCATTCTTCACAGACTGTTTGAACTTTTCTCACTACAGCTCATGGTGCCAGTGCAAAAACTCTCTAAGCTTTTGATCCATTCCCTGACTATCACTGAAATATCACCCATCCCAAACGTGCCCCAATGCAGCCAAAACCCTCATCCATGCCTTTGTTGCCTTGAATGGTTGGCTCACTGGTCTTCCCTGATCTACATTCCACAAACTACAAATCATCCAGAATTCTGCAACATACAACTTCTTCTGCACAAGGCTCTAGTGAGGCCATCACTCACTTCCTCAGTAGGCTGTACTGATTCCCCATTCCACGGCAGATTGGCTTTAAGATCCTCATTTGTACCTTCATATACCTCCTTGTCCTTACCCCATCCTATCTCTCTATCCTGTTGTCCCCTGCTCACCTCCTCCACTCGTCCAACTCACACCTGCTTCATGCTTCTTTGCACCCCTCCACTCCTCCACCATTTGTGGGCAATTTATGAGCCACTTTAGTCACAGTCTCTGGAACTCTACCAATACATCCCTCCAACTTGTTTTCAAAACCTGTCCAAAAACCTCTTTGGCTACATTCTGCTACATCCCTCCCCAACCACACCCCCACCCCAACTATCTCCAATTTTGTTAAGTGCTTTGAAATGTTCTATCTGAATGTGTTACGGAAGTCCAAGTTGTTGTGGTAGATAGCCAAAAACAATCTGATTGCTGGATTATTGTTAAATATAACAAGCTGGTCAACAGGAAAATTGAAACATATTGTTTCTTGTAAAAGATTGTAAAAGATTTCACCTGTTCCTTCATTAGAAGATCACCCAAGGTATTCAAAAGCTTGTAGTACACTTCAAACCAAGGCAAATAACTGAAAAAAGAAACATTTATTCATGTGTTAATATACAGGAGAACCCACATATTCAGTAGAACCCAATTAGAACTCACTTTGTTAGGCCATAATTTGCTTATAGCACATTTTGGGTTTGAGCCCTTACATTTACCAAAATATACAAAATGCAGACAGAAAACCAGCTGGTTCCTAATGTATGTTGGTCAGCTTTTGAGACACATGCACAGTGAATACAGAACTGCTGACTGTCCCCATTTTAACACTGGTATGGATTTTATCGACCAACTACCATGCAAAATGGCACTCGGTTGTATACACACATCTTTTCCTTGTTGTCTTGTGTTTTTAATAATACCATATGAGTAATTCCGGCAAAATAGATTTAAGACAAAGCATGTTGCAAAAAAAAGTCAAAATAAATTATCACACACTTATTCAAAGTACATTTCAGGTATTTTCACCTCATTTAAGATAATTATGTACAACTTTCTTAGTTCCATAGTTATTTTAATTATATCTTAATACCCTGCAATAAAAGAATTACATAATCTTCACTCAATTCGATATCTATTGGATAAGCACAACCCACACTTCATGTCATACCAGATTACTTTTTTCAGTCCACTGCATTTTCCTTATTCAGAACTGACAGTGCGAAATGTATTTTCATCTGCTTTATGTATTGAAACTCATTAAATATCATGCATGACTATATTTAGTTATATTCAGTAACTGTGCACCATTATTCTAGAAATTAGGTTACTCCTTTGTTCCTTCAGATTCCCATTTTGACATTGAATCAACCAATTAGATTTATGTTTCAAGGCTTATGATCCTTCATTTTTTCCCCGCTCCTTCAAAAATGCTATATAAATATGGTCTCGCATTTCAATGTCATGTTAGGCTGTCAGAATTTATCTACCACACCGTCTTTATTCGATTCTCCCCTACTGTAAAAACAAGACCTAATGGTTGTAACATTTTTAAAATTAGATGTAACTGTCAAATTTATGTACCATAACTTTTGTTCAATAAGCTTAAAACAGCCAGTATTTTAGGGAGGGCATTCCCACTCTGTGGCTAGTCTTTGTTGGCCTGAATATCTTGTATCTCATAAATTTCTTCTTTTCAAAAGAGGAAGAGGTTCTGTACAAAAAAAACTCCTACATTTGTTTGTATTTTTTTAAAAAAATCAGAAACTGCAATTAGTTTTGAACAGAGATAAAAATATGCTGATCTATTGCCAGTTTTTAACAGATCAGTAAAGCTTGGTCCAGGAATGTGATAAAGCTGATCGAGTGTGGGGGAAAGAGACAAAGAGGTGAAAGCAGGCATTAAGAGCATTCAGACTGCATATATGTTGCACTGTAACAACAGAGCACACCAGTTTATTTGCCTCGTGTATATACTAAAATCCTCAGGTTACTTTTCTTTGGAGGAAAAATCCTGACATTTGACTTTTTGTTCCCTCTATATATTAACATAATAAGATGAGCAAGATATTTCAGCTGCAAATCTATGACTCTAAACAAATTTAGGGCTGCAATATATACTTAAAGAGTCTTTTATAAACTCTGGTTGAATAAATTTCAAACTGAAAAAGCAACTTCTCTCTTTTTGTGTTTTGATATCCACGCTTCTCTATAAATCAAATGCCCATGAACTTCATTCTGGAGCAAATCTTGTATTGTAACTGCTTTGTATCAGCATAAAAACTCATCTTTTGGGTGTGGGTTTCATACCAGAATAACATTTGTATTGGTGTTGTGTAACCAAAAACCTGGAGTGAGATGGCAGGAAGCCTTTGATCAAAGCGATACGTCTCCAAGGGAACACCGACTTCACTGCACACCAAGGTGGAGCTACTCAGATACAAGAATAAATATGGCCAATTCTAGATTTTTTTAAAAAGAAGCTGCTACATTTCTGACAGTGTTGGTTTCCCTAAATAATTTATTCTGTTATGGTAATATTAAAGGAAAAACAAAGGAAAAGGAAAACAATAATGCATTTCTAAACTGTACCTTAACCGTGTATCAGTTGCATTAGCGCAGATCCCAGCATAGGCCACACACGCATACATGAGATGACATTACTTTGCAATGTATCCTCTTCTACCATATATATGATGAGTTAGTATGTGAATAAGTTAGTATGTGAATGTGCAGTTAATATCGAGACTCAGATGGAAATGGCATACTACAAAATAAAAGTCAGAGACTGGACAGCAGCACCCATTATTCAAGTACTTTGCTAATTGGTCAATGGGGAAAGTGAATTAGGCAGAATTGGGGTTGAGTAGATACCGTTGCCAGGTATGATTTGTATAGCGCCTTTCACGTCAGGAGGATGTCCCAAGGCACTGGACAGATAGAGTTTCAGACCCGAGCTGGGGGTAATGGTGACAACAGAAAAAAACATGTAGACCAAACTTGGGAAGTTTATGAAAATCCTGTTGATATCAGTGAGGATGCAGCATCAATGATGAACCAACCCATTTAAAAAAAATTGTATAAAAGAATTCATGAGATCAATCTCTCTCTCAAACTACCTTAGTCAGATCATATAGTGAGTTTTATTTGTTTCAATGCATCCATGTGCACCTCTTTTTCCCTCAGCCGCTTCCCTCTCACAACGTTGAATATTTTGCCTTTTCTCTCACCTACGTGAACTCACGAGTGCACCTTTACATAAATCAATATTCTATAATGTAACACTTTAAGTCCCGGTTGCCAACTCAATATAACAGTAGTTTTATTCAAAATGCAGGTTTAAGAATATAAAACTTCTCAACCAATGTACAATATCGTCAGCCATTCCTACTCTTTTATAGTCAAGTATCTGTCATTTGTCAGAACCATTTTCAATATAAAGGAATGGAATAACAGTACTGTCCTAACTCACTACTTACAATGAAAACCTCAACACAAAACACTCCAACAATTACCCCATAGCAAACATTGAAACTGGTACCTATAATCTCAAATTATGACTCTTCTCGCATCTTAAGCACAACAAAGGTTATAGTGGGTTTGTACTGCCTAATCTAATGCTTTTTTTAAAAAAAATCCTATGGCAGGTAAATATTACTTTTCTTTTTCAATACACAAAACAAGCAACAAAGAGACATTTTTAAATATTGAGAGATAATGCAACAACCAATACAGGTGCGTGCTATTTCTTAAAAGGAGCTCAGGAATGGTTTGTTGCTCGACTAATGCACTTAGTGTAAAGAGGATCTTTGCAGAATGCTCTCTACGAAACCTTAGCTAAAACTAATACAATTGACACTAACTAAAACTTACTGATAGGCAGAATTAGAAATAGTTTAGGATGCAAAAAACAATGTTCCTTTAAGGATTAAAGCAGAAAGTAACAAGCTGTAAGTGCTTAGCACAGAAGCTTTGGAACTCCCTCAATCCCTTCACCTCGCCCCCTTTCCCCATTTCCAGGTTGCGATTGAAGACCTTCCTCTTTGACCGTGCCTCTGGTCACCTTTTCCCTCCCCACTGGCTCAGCATCGGAATCTGCCATTGTTAAGCCTTCTGGCACATTGTCCGACGTGGAGCGCGTTATATAAATGCAAGTTGTTGTTGCTGTACTTGTACTCTAGGTGTGTAGCGATCTATGTGCAGTTGTTCTTGAAATAAACCCGAATATCTCCATTTCAAAAGTTTTTCCTTTACAGCAAAAGCCATCTCAGTCTGAAAACTGACTAACAAGACATCAATATTAGAAAGCAGATACTTGACTATATCCCCTCTGTATGAACGACCCTTGCATGCAAGTCCTGCTGGTTATTTGCTAAAAATAAATCAACAACTATTTAATGAAATTATATTTAATTTTTAAAAAAAATAGCCTACAAATGCATCTCAGACCCATGTTAAGGGTATCTACCTGCTATTTAATCACACTTGCTCCACACTTACCACCCTCTTTTAAGATTTTACATATCTTTTAACTCAAGTTTTACTTAAATGAAAAAAATTCATTTGTTTTGTAACATTCCAGTTTCAGAGATTCAATCTATTTGTATGCTCACATGCATTGCTCAAACCACTGCCTGGCTCTTCAACATCTTAAAAAACAATGCACAACAGTAAAAATGCAGTAAAGCTTATTAAGATTTTCACCTGGAAAGAGTCAAAAAGCAGTCTTTCAAAGTTACATTTACAGACATGGATCAACTTTATTTGCCAGCTGTGGACTTCCACCTTAGTGCTGCTTCTACTTAAGCTTTGATTAACTTTTACTTTCCAGAGTCAAAGGTTAAATAAAGGAAAGGAAATGTTTTCCGTCAAATAACTTACTGACCACTGACATCAACTTCCAGCAGGAATGCAGCCCCTAGTAATCAAATCAAACAGAGGAAGCTGTTTTTCCAAACTTTAACTTGAAATGTCTAGGGGGTTACTTTCTTGTACTGAAAATTGACACAAAATGTGTAAAATTGAAACATTCTGCTTTTAAGGGGATTTGCCTTTGGCAACTGATGACTTCACTTCGATCGGAGCTGCCCCACTACAAAGGCTTACCTATATAAAAAAAAGTGAGCTAGCTTGTTAGAGGATATCCTTTGGTAAGTGAAGGTGACAATTTTACAATTGTGAAACTTTGGAAATCAAAAGCAGACCAAAAATGTTAATGATGCTTTGTGTCACTATGAGGTGAAAGATTTATTGTATTTCTCGTCCCCACAGATTTTAAAGTCAAATCTGTTTATAGAAGCATAACTGTCAGAAGCTTTTAATAAAAATAGTAGGAATTAAATTGTCATGTTCTAAGTTTTTACACACAACTTAAATTAATAATTAAACAAGTAGGTAAAATGTAATAATTATGCACCATATAAGTATAAAATGCTTCAGTTCCGGACAAATGTGTGACAAATTGTATTTTCAGACATGAAAATACAATTTGCCTTGGTCACACCAGTAAAAACAAAATTGAAATAAAACTTAAGCAAATGATTTATTTAATCACAATCCACATACCCTCGTTTTTACATGGTTCATACAACCATATTTGTGTTTGGAAATAAATAAATTTTAAATAAATAAGGTACCGATTCTCTATGCCCTCTGCTTTTCCAGTGATGCAAGTAATACAGGGTGACCAAAAAGTCACCTTATTACCTTATTTAAAAAAATCATAATTCCTTTAAGACTTATTAGACATTGTAATAGTATCACAACTTTTTAATCACCCTGTACTTGGCACAAGAATGTTAAAAAAAAACTATTCTAACAAATCTCCTATATTCCTCATTATTGTAAATTTGATTCTTCCTGAATACTCACAAAAGGAATCAAACACTACTGATATTTAGGAACATAATATCTTGATTTTGATAAAATATGCCTGCTTGATATTATTTTAATGTGAAAAACAGTAGCAATGCCTCAAAAATGTGTCAATCCAAATCTATGAAATTCTAGGCACTTGTTGGATGATGGCATCCTCCCCGTTTCAAAATGCCTGCGCCGATTTCTTTCCATAATTATTGTTTACATTTTCAGTAAATACTTAAGTACTAAATGTGATTTTGATGGAACCAATTTCAGCTCTCACAGACTTTATATTTTTCAAAGGAAGAATCAAATACCCGTTAGCCAACTACACAAATTGTATTTTTCAGTCTACCAGAAACACTGCATTAAGTAAGTCATATTCTCAGAGTCATCTCTGATAACATTGTGCAGATTAGTCCATCAGCAACACAATTATGCAATACTCACTGGAACTGACCAGACCACTGTTAAATAATAACCACTGGGACATCACTTAATTATTATAGAACTATCTTCAGTCCTTTATCAGGACAGTGTCTCCATAAGAGAAATAGAACTCTAAATCAGAATTCCAGACCCAATTAAACCAAACTAAATGTTTAAAAATGTTTCACTGTGACTACGCATGCTTGCATTTGTAAAACGTAAGCTACAGTACTGCAGAAGCTGTGTATAGGTAGCAATGCTGAGAGTATTTTATTGCCCTAAAAAGGTCTAATCAATTTGTTGGGGGAAAAAAAAATAAAATTTATAGAAATACTTTGGTGATTATTTATTATAAAAGCCCAAATTAAGTCTCTCCACATATAAAAATGAACTGAGCACATGTTGTCTACATAGGTGCCACCACTTGTCCATTGTCTTGTTCACAAAGCTGGAGAACGAAACTGAGGTTTCCAATTTTTGTTGGACGTGTTTTGCAAATTTGGAAGAATCAGAGCCATCTAATTCATGGCTTGAAGAAAATGATGACCCAGCATTACAATTATATTCTTTCAAGCATGATTATAGACGAACCCAAATGGAGACATCAGTAAGGGTTACATTAAGCATAGATCGCTGCAGATTTGACATGGAAGCCTTCTTTATACCTTTCTGATCATGCATGCAGTGGTTTCAGCAGCACATACCTGAGGATACAGAGGCAGACCTTACATCCTGATGTTAATCGACAGAAACCAAACCTCTGTTTACTTTCGATGTCTGTAAGCACGAAGGTAAAGTGCTGTCCCACTTGGCCCTGTGAAACCCTGAAAATGACAATGTAAGATATCGATGAGCACGATTTACAAACAAAGTGTCATAAAGTATGAGCCCTCTCCCAGAGTGGTTCTACAATTCACTACTAGTCCAAATGCTGTATAAATCATCTTGTTTGTATTGCAAGTGGATTCTACAGCAGCTGGACCCATTTCTAAAACACTGGATGTGAACCATATTTTTGAAGCCACAATCATATTTTTAAAGCCACAAACATTGACTAATTAGCTGATAGCATTACCATCCCTGCACTGACCAGCCATTACAAAAACACACACTGGTCTTTTTATGGTAGACTTGAATACTTCAGCCACTTAAGTCCTATAATGCTGGGAAATTCAGTCACTGCAATTTTGGACAAGAAACCTGTTCATCTTGTTTTTCTCTTAGAGGGAGCAGGGCTGGTTGCAGGCACAACAAGGCCTTACACCACCTCTGGCATCATAATTTGAATAGTGCGGTAATTTATATTTGAAGTATGCTCCCTAGGTACAGAAGAAAATAACTTTCAAATCGATATTTGTCATGTAGTAAGAAAGTAAGAAATCCTCATTTTTCTGCACTATATGGAATGGAGTTTTCCAATTCACAAGCTGCTATGTAATGTCATTGACAGGGACGAGACAGGAGTGCTCCAGAGCAGCTCGGTTGAGTTCAGTAAGGTAGGAAGGTAGGAGTTGGGAATGGTATGGGAGTCACCCAGCATCAGCAAGACGTGGCGCTAGCATGCAGGACTTTCAGCCAGGATAATGTTTTTTCCAGGGTCAGAAAGCTCCAAATCAGCTTCCAATTCAATCCTACAGTTTCATTACCACCATCATCCAAGCTGATTGTGTAGTACTGACGTGCTGCTTGTTGGAGGTACCATTCTTTGGATGAGATGTTTGAGGTCTCATCTCCTTCTTCTGGTGGTCTAGGCAGCCATTAAAGATTGCATGGCACTATATTAAAAAGGAAGGCATTTCCCACTGTCTTGGCTAATATTTCTCCCTCATTCAAATTCAAAAAAAGTTTAAATTTGGTCATTTGCATCATTGTGTTTGGGAAACTTTGGTGTTATCCATTAAGCAATTCATTGTCTGTAGCATTCTGCAATGTTTTAATGTGGCAGGCATGTATGTTAAATGCAAGTATTATATTTACTATTACATTCAATAGAATCACTCCAGAATGCACCTGGCTCATATAAATTATGTCAACAGAGACCTACAATTGGAGGAGGTAAATTCAAAATATTGAAGACAACCAAGGATCCTTCGCTGTAGAGAAATTAAAGTCCCAGCATTTTTTTTCTTCCATACCTAGGAGCATCCTGAAGCAAAAGCATTTTAATTAGAATCTCCTTCCTTTTTATACTGTTTAAAGATACTTTCATTGCTCAAAAATAAAGAATGTTTAATCATGGCTGTAATTTCAAAAAATGAAAATCAATCTTTATACGAATCACACCTTAACTGCTTTATGTCCAATTTTATCAGACTGAGGTAAGAAAAGGAAGGAATTAATTTGAATGATCTTTCAGTTAACACTTTTTCATAGATTCCATAGGTTGCAAATCTGAGTTTGTGGTCTGATTTTGTTAAAGAACCACTATTTTCATGAAAAACTGATTGACAGACATGGTCTGTCTGTTGGCAAAAACACAATGAAATGCATGATCACATTGTGTGCATGTATTGTCATTTGGATAAAAATATTTACAATTTCTTTCTCTCTGGGGAAAAAAAAAGGTTTGCCTGTAACTTTCTTGAAAACTGTATTCCTTCAATGAATTTAGTTTCACACTTTGGGGCCTAACTTGTTAGTTGTGTATATTGTTTGTAAATGTATATGTACAAAGAGAACCCAAGGTTTCCTTGATTATGCAATTAACAACCATTGAAATGGATATACTGAAGGAAACAAAGTAATGTTAAATGCAACAATGAAGATCGTGGCATGGAATTAGCGAGAGGCGAAAATCACAAGAAAAATTGGATACAGAGTTTCTTCAGCAGATCAAAAACAACATTTTAACTAGCACAGAATGTTCAAAGTCAATCAAAACACCAATCCACAGTATTTTACTGTTAGTGTACCATCATGACCATAAATGCAGTCGTTTTTATATATAAAAACAAAGAGTTTGTTCAAATCCAAATTGGACACAGGTAAGAAATACACCACTGGATGGCAGTAATGCAGTCTTAAGAGATGCATTTCTACCCTATCCCAAATGAAAGCAATAAGATCTCTCTTAAAGTCACAAAATACACAAACTACCAAAGGTCTAATTATTTAGACTATTATATAATGGCAGTTAAACTATTCTGCTTACATTTTTCAAGGCAGAATCATATTGGTAATTACAGATAGCTTTCTCTGAATATTATTTAGCGTTTTGTCTTTCCAAATACCCAAAAAGCCAAGTTTCATCTATACTTAGATTTTTCAGGAAATTTTCTATGAAATTAGACAGACAGTTCTGTTTTTTCAAAGCACAGGGTAAAATATGAGATTCAGATTGGTTTAGCACTCAATACTGTACCTTTCAACATCAAAAGGAAAGCAGAACTTTGGCACAGTCTGCAGCACTTCCTGTGAATGATAATAAAAATGTTAGTCTCATGCAATACTTGGATCTGAATCACTGCTGTGTCTGCAACAGAAAAGTCCAAGAATAACCTTTTGAATTAAAACCATATACAGACAGTTGTTCCTGTATTGAAATAATGAACCACAATGAACTTCATTGATTATTAACAAGAATCAAATTTATGCTTTAGCAGATTGTACTGACAATGCCAAGGGAGCACCAGGAGGGAATAGCTTGGCCTAAAGGGCATTAACACCCCTCTCATTCCCGCTGGGATCCCCTTCAACAAGACCATATGGATTTTACAAGCAGCACTGCACCATATGGGTAAGCCATGTCTGCTGATACTTGCATCACAGACTAGCCACCAGTTTTTATGCAGCATAGGGGCTTCAGATGCAACACGTGTAGACAATGCAAATTAGAAAAAAAGAAATGATTTTTTGGGGGGGAGGGGAAGATAGAGAGAGCCAGAAACAATTCAACTTTATCAAAGTTTATTGTGCAGCCCATAAACCCCACACAAAAAAGGCCAAAGAATCCCTCTTTTTTCTTATGGTCTCTCAGAAGATGAATTTGAATTTTAAATAAAATATATGCCAGATCTTTTAACACGTGCATTTTAACTAGAAATACACACTATATTTCAATAACTCTAATAAAAATACGACACAGCAATAAAACACTATGCAATTAACAGCAGCCATTTATTTACAAGCTCATAAAGAACACCTCAGAACAGTCATTTTATATCTTTCTATTAACCCCACAGAGATTTGTAATGACACTGATGTATGTTAATGTGACTTTTTATCTTTTGCAATTGTGAAACACCAATCAGTCTTTCCAAAAAGATGAAAAGGGATAAGTGCAACAAACTTTAGACAACCTATAAAACTAGATAAACTGGATTGTTTTCAAGTATACTTAAAGATCTCATCAACCCTAATATCTTGACTACAATTCACAATCACAAACCAACATAATGACCATGTGAGTTACATTTCAATATGCTACATAAGATATAGGAGCAATGTAAATGTAATCTTTAATCTAACTAAAATGTGATTTTGTGAACAGTTACAGTGTAACGGTTGTTGGACTCATTAAAAATGTTAGAAATCTCATCTGCTGTATCTTCCATTCAGCATTTTATTAAAACTTCCTGGTTTGCCTTTTAATTGTCAAATCTTCCAGATTGCTTATTTTTGATTCACTTATGTAATTTTTTCAGTATACTATTGTATAAAAAAGCTTTGGGACGTCTAGAAGACGTGAAAAGCGCTATATCAAATGCAAGGATTATTATTGTACAGATTTTAGTACAGATGCTAATGTACTCAATCCATACTTCTTGTATTCTTCAGATGCTGTCTGTTTTTCAATGCTGATACAAGAATATTATCTTAAATTTCAGAAAACAAAAGGAAATATCTTTTTATTGATCATTGAATTTGTTGAATAAGCTGAGTACAGTATGTTATCTTACTTTTCCACTAAGATAGTGAAGTTGATTTCTCAAAGGAAACTTCAGCATGCTGAGGTTACTTACTATTGCAAAACTCCAGACAATATTACGAGTATAATTTAGTTTCAAGCTAAATATCATTGTTTAAAATTTCCCTTTTTCTTCAGAATACATTCCCAGCTTTCCACTCGCTTCCCAACTGGCAGAGACATCCCTTGAGGAAAGAGGGTTTTTCTTAAAACCTCAGTCCTCTTTCAATTCATGCAGCCAGCAGGTCTATACACTATCTCAACATTATCACCCCTTGTGGGACAGACCAGCTCAGCTGATGACTAATTCCCATGGCAGCAAATATGAGTTTGCTGAGATCAATATATGAAGTGCTAAATCATTCCAAAGCAATAGCCCAGCAGTCATATTAATTAATAGCTTGCTCAAACAACACGTCTTTATAACATATTGTTCGTGGAGACAAATTTACAGCAGAAAATCAAACACTTCAAAAATCAGCTGGCCATTTCCATTATCACAACATTGGCAGTCTACAATTAAATGTGGCGAAAATAAAAATATCAACATACAGGACATCATTGCATAATTTCACCAATTTTAGTTTTTATTACCAAATTCAACTTGAGGCCCATCATGCAGTACCACAGTAATATTTGCCTGCATCATTCTATAGACAGTCATGTTAAAGGAATTTCACAGAAAAAGTGCTTTGAATCAGTGTACATTCTGCAGTACAACACAGAAGGAAAATGATTCAATGGAACAGAAGCAGCGTCAGATCACTTTGAAGTAGCCTAAGGTTCACACTGGCTGCAAACAAACATTTTTTTTAAAAAATGTTAAAGTTGAACTTTAAAGTTTAAAAATTTCTGTGAAGGTCACCCGGATCATTAAAATGAAATGTTTCACTGAAATTGAGAAAGCATTGAGTAGACGTTTACACTTAAGTGCTTATGCGCAGAGTTCTGCTTTGCTCGAGTACAGAACTGTCAACTCAAACTGTTTTGAAGCACAGATATCAGTATCAGAGCAGTACCTGCTGTATAAACTGGGCATTCAAATACAACACTAGACTCAAAAAATGGTTTTCAACATCAAGTAATTGGCAAATTAAAGGGAAAAAAATATTGTATTGTTCTGTTCAAGTATTTACAAAGAGGCATTTTGTTACTGGTTCTCCTGTTCCAGTATTGTAAATGAGTTCATACTGGCACCTGTCAACCTAACTAAAAGTTGGGATTAACTACGTTGTTGTGTCATCTTCATTCTACAACAAGAAGCATTCTTCACACCGCAGCAGTAAATCCAGCTTGACCACAGAGGAAAATCAATGAGGATAAAGTATCTTTAAGATGTTTTTGTTAATACAGTCATAACACCAACAGGGCACCCATGTGACTTTTTATTCCTTCACCATATAAAGGAGCTGACAGATATGTACTTTACCAAAGGAGGCAGAATCATAAATGGAAGATGAAAACAGCACACTAATAAAATTGCACAGAAAACGATCTACAAAATTGAAGGCTCTTGGTTAGGGTTGCTTAGAGAAAGAGATGTATGCATTAATTAAGAATGAAGATGACCTTTGTGAAGTTGGTAATCTAAATTTTCAAGACAACGCTTTCCTTATGCAGCATGAGGGTCAGTCCTATTGAAGATATATGGTTGCCTTCTCAGTCTGAGAAAACCTCAGCTGCTTGAACAGGCCAAAAGAAAACTAAATCATCTTCTGATGACAAATCCTACTACAGTATGATGTTTGGTACAAGGTCGTTTCCAAGTAGCAGCCCTGCAATTACTGACTGACCCTTTTAAGGGTTGTGCCATGACAGGGATACAGAATTATTTGTATGTCCCTTGATCTCAAACAAGTTTCCTGGAGACCAGGTGACAAGAATACTAGAAGGTTGCTCCCCCATCTCCTCCCCCCCTGTTATTTTGATCATCTTTGAGGTGGAGGAGACATATGTACATGTCCCAAAAAGCACAAAAGTCAAGCTCCACAGATATATTGTTCCATCTATGTTGCAGGATAAAACCCTGCTAAACTTCAACATTGTGAAAGCTCTGCTCCATTCCTTTATTGAAGTGGGTGAAACAAGGAAATGGTAATTTCCTGTTGTAAATGAAATTCTGTAATTACCTTGGGCAGAAACTTAGGGTAAGGTCAAAGAACAGCCCATTCAGCATACTTTATGAAGCATGATTGATTGGCTACCGATGGCTAATGTTTCTCAACCCATCTTGCTGAAACCCATTACCACGTTTTCAGGTTTAAAAAAAAGTTCACAAGAATAGAGAACTGAAAAGACAGTACTTATGTTTTTAATATATCAAGTGAAGATCGGTATTTATATGAGCTGGAGGAATAAAAGATAATATCCAAGTGTCTTTGACACCACAATACAAATGGATATTCTCCAAGAGAACACTTGGAAACAGAAAACTGCGACATCTGCAAAGCAATCCCAAATAAGTTATTAACAGATTCTGTCAGTAAGTGCCAGAAGCAATCCAAGTGCAATTCATCTTTTTTGTTTGGACGGTTATGAGCTTCATCCATTTAGCATCATATGCTTGATTGGTGCAAGCTTATAAAGCATCCACCAAAGAACAAAATAGTCTTTTACCAGCAGCCATTCCATCTCAATATTAAGACAAAACAAAAAGCTGACTAGAACAAGATTCATTTGGATTTTAGGTCCTATTTATGGGTTAAATATTGGATCATCATTCGTCAATGCTAGTAAGTCTGAAAACAACAACCTTGGAGGACAATAGGGCAGAATCAAAGTTGTGTTTCCAACCTTCGTTGTTTGCATCAGAGGAAACAAAGTACACAGAGGAGCTTGTGCTCCAAAACAGCGCAAAATAACTTCTATTCCAAGACAACAGACTGCAAAGAAATGACTGGGACAGCTTGCTGAATCCATCAACATAGCTTGTGACAACATTAATGAAAGCAAACAATATTTTTAGGATTTGCAGCCAGAGAAAAGATTAAGTCCCACCTGGAATGCTGTGCACAATTCTGGTTACATACTGCAGCAGACATCCATCCTGGTTCTGGAAAAGGTACAACCTGAGGTATGAAGACTTTGGAAACTGAAAATGTTTAATACACAGGAAAACTACTTGGGGAGACCACATTGAAGATAGTTTGATTCAACAGTTTAATCATCCATTCATGTAGGTGCACCACTGATTGATTTGGAAAGTGTGCAATCATAATAACCTTTACATTTATAGCGCTTTTCACATCTTCTAGATGTCTCAAAAGTGCTTCACAGAATATACTGTAAAATGAATTGACTGTATATTTGTGGACAAAACGCCGCAGCTAATTGCGCACAGCAGTGTCCCACAAACAGTCGTGGATTGAGTGATCAAATTATTATTTTTTTTTGAAGGATTATTATCACCGTAAAACCAAGCCGCCAATCGACTAACAACCGGGTTCCTACTTACTGCTAGGTAAACAGAGGCGTGTGGAGTAAGGAACTTGCCCTGCTGGGAATA